CCACTTGCTGCTGGTGCCAGCCAAGCTGCCCACTGTCCCTGCAAGGAGTCCTTGAGCTCCTGCGGAAGTTTTTTGCTTTCTGCTTTCATTAAAAATGAGCCTTTCCTGCATCTGCAGCTCTGGAAGGGAGGTTCCTTCAGTGTCCCCAGCATCCCCTCAGCCCCCTGTCAGAGAGCCAGGGAGGTCCCCAGGGCTCCTGCCATCAAGAGACCTGCTCCCATGGGGTGGTGAGCTCTGCTTCCCTCTCAGCTGATGGTGGGAAAAGCTGGAACTCTGGGAAGGGGCTGGGGGCTCCAGGATTTCCAGGGTGCAGGATGCTCTGCTGCCAGCTCACAGGGCCACATCCTGGCAGAGCCTGCCTGGCTGTGGGGCTCTCCCTCACACACACGCTGACAGGGTGCTGACAGGGTGCAGGGAGGATGTGAATCAGCTCCCAGGGGGCTTCCCAGGGGGTTTCGGTGCCGACACAGCACCGAGGGACAGGGGACTCATCCCGAGACTGGGTGTGAGGATACAAAACCTGGAGCTGCACGTGAGAGCCTGGCAAGTCCTGGCATGAGCAGCCACCAGAGTCAGCTCTGTTGTCATCCTGAGGTGATACCATGGGCCATGATGATGCCATGGACTGGCATGGGGAATGCCAGCACTCCTGGGGCTACTTTGGGTCACCAGTGGGGCTGTTCTGGGTGACACTGGGGCTGCTGCAGAGGTTTGCAGCCATCCCCTCTTGCCGCGGCTGGTGGTACTCACCTGCCTGACCTACACACTGGCCATTTCCTTCTCTTCCCTCTAATTACACTGTCTGAATCACCCAATTAAGGCCAGCGCCCTTCACCTCCTGCCTGGCCACCGTGCCCACTCTGTGATCCAGGTGCCCCCCCAGATGGCAGCCCCCAAGTTCCACACACCCACCCAGTCCCACAGGGATGCCCCAGCATTTCCAAGTCTCCCTGTCTGTCCTTTGCTGTGTCAGCACAGGGATGCCTGGGCTGGCCCCACCCCGTCGCCCTGTGGGATTTTTGGTTTCCCAATGTGGGAAGGAGCTCAAAGTTATGTCAGAACCCCCAGGGGGTGTCAGACTCATCCTGCTTTGCTGGGAATAAAGCTGCCTGTCCTGCTGCTGGCAGGGCAGAGGTGCTGCACCTTCAGCCAGGCGAGGACAGCTCTGGGATCAGCGCCTTCAACTGCAGCCAGGTGGGACTGGGATCAACTGGGACGAGTGGGGATGAGGCTCCTTACCCCAGCAGTGGGAGTTGTGGTGAAGTTTAAGGATGTGGAACAGCCTGGGGTGCCTGGAATGCTGGCGGCGGTGGATGGGGCTGGTGGGCAGCGAAGAGACCCTGTTGGGGGAGTGGAGCTGGGTGATCACTGGAGCTGAAGAGGCAGGTTCACAGTGGTGAGACAGGATTTATCCTCATCTGGGAGTGGTGAGCTGGCAAACTGCCTACACCAGCTCTGCAACCTGCTCTGGGCAATGCCCACCATGACACACTGTCACACACCAGGACTTTGGAAGGATCTACATGTTTTTTTCCTCTACCTCAAACTCAAAATAGTGTTCCGAGTTCATCTCCCATCCCTGCACCCCTGTGACCCAGCATCAATCCTGCAAGAATGGGGACTGTGACACTGGAATTGTCCCTGCTGACTGTGGCTCTCCTCCTGTGCCCAGCCACTGCCATGCTGCGTATCGGTGCCTTCAACATCCAATCCTTCGGTGACACCAAGATGTCCAACAAGGAAGTGGCAGAGATCATCATCAATGTGAGTGCAGCCAGTACATGGGGGTGGGCTGTGTGCTGGGACAGACCCCAACAGGGCTCCTGTGTCAGAGACATGGGGATGTGGCTGAGCATGGGATGGCATCGCAGTGCTCGGGATGGCCTGGGTGGATGAAGGCTTGCTGGGGTGTCAGGCACAGCCTACAGTCCCTCTGAGCCCTCCCTGGGGACCTGCCCTACCCCAAGGGACATGCATGTCCCCATGGTGCTGAAGCTGGAGCCCCTGGCTGGGAGGGTGGCCCTGAGCTGTCCCCTTTGGCCCGCAGGTGCTGCGCCGCTACGACGTGGTGCTGGTGCAGGAGGTGCGCGACTCCGACCTCAGCGCCGTCACCCAGCTCATGGAGCAGCTCAACAGGTACAGCAGGGCTGGGACTGGCACAGCAGCACCAGCAGGGAAAGCCAGGCTGCCTGAGCACTAAGAGGAAAAAGTTATCCATCAACAGAGAGTTTATTTTTGGGGGAAAAAAAAGGACATTAGGAGAAATGTGCTGGGGCAAGTAGGAGGCACTGAAAACAACACTGGGAATAACTCAGTGAAGGGAATGGGGATGCAAGTGATGCAAATCCCTTCTGAAAGCTCTAAGCTCACCAGAACATGCAGGATGGAAAGGAACTACAGCTCTGTCTCCAAAATCCAACAGGACAGGGCAGAAGGAAGAGAGGGAGGAAGGGACAGGCAAACCTTGGACCCCAATACCCTGTGAGCGGCAGGGGGACCCCAGGATGGGCCCAGCAGTGGATGGTGCTTTGAGGGGGTGGTTCTGGCACCCTGTGAGGAAAAGGGGCTGCTGAAGTGGGCTAAAACTGGCCACAGCAGGGTGACAGCCCCTCCACCAGCTGGGTGCTGACCCAGTTTTGGAACAGGGCACGGCTCGGGACCATGCGGAAGCTGCTGCTGCTGTGTCGAAAGGCAGCCAGTGCTCCTGAGCAGGTGTGCCCAGCCCATGTCCTCACCCCTCCCGTGTCCCCTCCAGCGTGGTCACAAAGCAGCCAGGGCAGGGAGGGTGACGCTGGGTGCTGCAGAGCCCCAGGCTGCTCACTGACCTAATTTAGCTCTGCTGCAAATGAAGGGGAGGAATGTCCCTGCAGAGAAAGGGTGACAGGAGCTGCCCCACGTCGTGCTGTGCCCACAGAGCCACCTGGGGGAGAGGCTTTGGGGGCTTCAGAGCTGCTATACCTCATGTCACCCCACAACCAGGGCACCGTACACCATGGGCACTCTAGAGCAGGACCAGCTGGTGCAAACCCTGGGGCCACCCAGCCCCTGGACATGCCAAAGCCAATCCAGGACGGTCCCAGCCACGTCATTGTCCTGACTTTGTGTCTCTGCAGTGCATCCACATCCCAATATGACTACGAGATCAGTGGCCCCCTGGGACGGGAGAACTACAAGGAGATGTACCTGTTTATCTACAGGTAATGGGGCTGGCAGTGCTGCAGCCTGTGACATGGCACTGCAGGGCCACCAGCACCATGGAGGGGACACAGGGGCTGTGCCAAGTCCCGGGGTCACCATCCTTTTGTTGCCACAGGACAGACGTTGTGTCTGTGGTGGACACCTACCAATATGAGGACCCCCAGGATGTCTTCAGCAGGGAGCCATTCATCCTGAGGGTGTCAGCACCCAGCACCAGTAAGTGGGGGAACAAGTGACCCATGGGCTGTGGCCTGGGGTGGCTGTGGGGCTGACATCTCTCTCCCCTGGCAGAGGTGAAGGAGTTTGTGCTGGTGCCCCTGCACTCGGCCCCACACGATGCTGTCGCTGAGATTGATGCTCTCTACGATGTCTACCTGGCCATCATCAACAAGTGGGGGACTGATGTGAGTGTCACCAGCACCGGGGGGACACAGAGGTTGGGGGAATGATGTGAGTGTCACCAGTACTGGGGGAACACAGAGGTTGGGCACTGAGCCCCAGGGACTGTCTGACCCACACTGGGACCCTGATTTGAGGCGAGCGCAGCCGGTGCAGGAGTGGTGGGGTCAGAACCCTGTTCCTGCCCCATGGCAGGGTGGTCCCTGCCACCCCCAGGGGAGGGCTGGTGGCAGGAACAGCCCACCACTCAACCTCCCATCTCCCCTGCAGAACATGATGTTCCTGGGGGACTTCAATGCTGACTGCTCCTACGTGCAGCCCAGTGACTGGTCGTCCATCCGCCTGCGCACCAGCGACATCTTCAAATGGCTGATCCCCGACAGCGCTGACACCACCGTGGGCAAGTCAGATTGTGCCTATGACAGGTCAGTGCTGCCACCACGGCACCACTGTCCCCTTCCCTGGCACCACTGTCCCCTTCCCTGGCACCCCAGCACCCCCCTGCCTGTCTGCATTGCCAGCAGGGGCAGGAGTGGCACCCACCATCCACCCCCATCTCCCCTGCAGGATCGTGGTGTGTGGCAGCAAGCTGAAGAGAAGCGTCCTGTCCAACTCAGCTGGTATCTACAATTTCCAGCGTGCTTTCCAGCTGGACCAGGAGCAGGTGAGCCAGGATCACACATCTGGGGCTCCAGCAGGCACCAAAGCTGAGCTGGCCCAGGCTGCAGGGCTGTCCTTGTCTCTTTGAGGGGCTCAAGGTGACAAAGGACCCAAAGGTAGAAACAGGACAAAGGATTTGGGGTCACTGCCTGTCCCCATTAGGAAGAAAGGCACAGGGCTTTTTATTGTCTTCCATGGGCAGGACTCAAGCTCAAGCCAACTTTCAACAACCCATCACTGGCATAGAGCTCCCAGATGAGACATGGGGGCTTGGAGGGCAGGGGGCACCCTGCCAGTGCCCACCCAAAGCCACACCTGGCCACCTCTCCATGAGAGCCTCGTGTGTTGAGTGTCTTGGGGCTGGGGACAGTGTGCCCCCTCCAGCAGGCAGAAGGTTCTGGCAGGGCAATTGACTGCCCTGCAAACCGCAGCAGCAGAGGGGTGAGTGGCTCACTGAACATCTCCCACCTTTTGCTCTCCTCCAGGCCCTGGCAGTCAGTGACCACTACCCAGTCGAGGTGAAGCTGGCAGCCTGAGCTCCTCCTGCAGCCACAGACCAGGATCCAGCTCCAGCTCCCACCACCAATCCCCATGAAGGTGTTCCAGCCAGCCCCATCCACAAGTCCTGTGCATGAGCTGCCCCAGACCCCAGTCTGGAGAAGACTGCCATGAAGCAGAGCCTGGGACAGGCCACCAGCCAGGACACTGTGACCACAGACAAGCCATGGAACAAAGCATCCATCTCCTACCTCATTGAAGATTTATTGACAAACCTCATTTCACGATTAACTGTTGGACAGGAGGGAGGACATCCAAGGACCATCAGGCTCAGGCCACGGCGTGTTGAGACCCTGTCCCAGTCCATTCCTTGGGTGCTGGGTGGGCTCTCCCTGCCCTTGGGGAAGGCAGCAGTGGTGTCAGGCACTCTACAGGCACAAAGGGAAGGGGCAGCTGGGTGGCTGTGGGACAGGTGGCATGTCACCGACTGCTGGCACTGCAGGTGGCTCTGCTGTGAGACCAACAGCTACTGCAGCGTTTCAGAGGGTGACTCAACCTCCCAGGGACCAGCTGGAGCCTCAGCTCTTCCTCTTCTTCAGCATCTCCATGTACATGCGGAGGGACTTCTGGATGGACTCTTTTGAGACGAAGGTGACAAAGTTTTTGATGTCTTCCTCCCGGTGAGCTACCAGGCGGTCCAACACCGCCTTCCTCATCATGGTCTTGGTGAGCTGGCGGGCATGGTCTGCAGAGAGGACAGCAAGGATGAGCAACATGCCCTGGTCTCACCCCTGTCCAGTTCCCAGTGCCACCAAATGCAGCTCTAATGGGATAGTTCACATAGCAAAGTGCTCTTGAAAGTAGCAGGGAAAGGGGAAAGAGAAACCCATCAGCTGGGAGCTGAACTGGTTAAACTCTCATACAATAAATTATGGTTGTACTGCTCAGTGAACTAATGACTGATCTACTGGCAAAGATGACAAAAAGTTGTGTACCTCATTCTTTCTGTGCCCTCCAGAGCCCAACATCCACCTTCAATACATACCAGCAATCAAACAACATTCCTTATTTGAAACTGCTGTGGCTCCAAGCTCCCCTGAACCAACCCCTTCAATCCCTGCAGGACAGTCTGCTCCTGCCAACCCTGCTGTACAAAAGCCAGCAACACCTGCCTCGAGCTCATCCCTGGGCCTGTGCCACTCCACATGGACATGTGGATGCTGCTGGAGCAGCAGGGGCTGGTGGAGCTGACTGAGGCCTCGAGCACACACCCTCACAGAGCCAGGTGCAGTGATGTGCAGCACACTGCTGCACAGATGCTTTATTCAGGCACTGTGTGACAATGAAATGAGGACTGACCCCCTCCAGCCACACACTGGGAACCCTGAACTGCTCCAGCACCTGGGTGCTGAAGCCTCCTCCACCCAGACACAGCTCTGATTTAGGGGAAGGATCTCACAGGAGCTCCTGGAAGTCAGGAGAGGGCACAGCTGAAGTATGCTCTCCAGTTTGGGGGTGAGGTGTCACTCTGAGACCAGGACAGTAGGGAGGAGAGGTGGCATGGGCTGGGACAGCTCAGGTCTGTGGAGAGCCCTTTCCCAGCCCAGGAGCCTTGTGCTGCAGTCACAGAGCAGCCCAAACACACGATGCCTGTGCTGTCTGCCTGCCCTCATGCACAGCCCCATCAGTGCCATCCAGAGTGCCAAGAGTTGATTCAGACCATGAAAGCAGCCTGGCAGCCACCCAGGAGCTCTCACCCAGCCTGTTCACTCAGCTCCATGGCAGCTTTCCTGGGCTAACACCTCCACTGACAGACAGATTCAGTTTGTCTGTGCAGCTCAGACACCTCCAGACTGACTCAGCAGAGCTGGCAGGATGAGCTGAGCTGGAGCCACGTGCCCTGAACATTAGCACAGTGTCCCTCTCCTTTAGCCCAAGGCTGCTGGGACTGCTGGGCTGAGCTTTCCTACCTCCCAGCCATCCAAACCTCCCTTTTCAATGGAAACTGTTACACTGTTAGCTCACAGCACTTCCCACTCCGACCAGGTCCCCTCCTATTCTGGCAGAGCTTTACCAGGAAGGGCCAGCCACTGTGCCATGACAGCTGCAGCCCTCTCCATGAGCTTCTCCTCTGGCACCAGCTCATCCACAAGGCCCAGCTTGTGGGCCTCAGGTGCAGGGTGGAGGGAGCCCAGCTGGAGGGAGCGCTCAGCAATTCGGTGTCCCACAACATTCACAAACGTGTCCTTAAACCTGCAAGAGATGGGAGGGAAAGCCACAATCAGGGGCAGCTCACCCACACACCAAGAGCTGACAGCACCTGGTCCCACTCCCCAGGCTCAGGGCTCTGAGAGCACCCTGGTCCCACTCCCCAGGCTCAGGGCTCTGAACAGCAGCTGTGGGCTCAGTCACAATGTGAAAATGGTATGAGAAGAGCCATTTTTGGGGGTACCCCAAGACAGCTCCCTCTCCTCTGTAAGAAAGCTGCTCTTTTTACTCTCAGTGCCTGTGGGTACCCATTTGCTGGGACTGAAAGCTTCTTTCCAACAGTACATTTATGCACTCCTAAGGCAAACAAGGGCCTGTGTGTCAGTGTCTTAGTGCCCCTGTGCTTTCAGAGATCTCCACACCGTGGGATTTTGCAGGAACACAGTGTATACCCAGAGAAAAGCCTATTCCCAGACTGAGCCTGACCCATGAGATCTCCCAGCACTAGTACTGGAGTTAATTGCTGGGCCAGAACTGAGGTCCTTGGTGCAGGATGTGAGGACATTCTGCAGCCTGAAATCTTTCCAGATACCTGCAGGACAGGACAGAAATGAGGTGTCATCTCCTGCAGCTGCAAATACCTGACCCCTGACACACAAACCACACCACCATGACCAGCTGAACTGAGCAATTAACTCCTTGAAGATGAATTTTCTAGAGATCTACACATGATATTACAAGTGGGAGGCAGTGTCCTACCAGAAGGGAGCCACAATGCCCAGCTGGGCCTCGTTCAGGCCGATGCTGAACTTGGGGTTCTCTGCCATGATCCTGTAGTCACACGACATGGCAACAAGGCAGCCCCCAGCTGGGCTGGACCCCTGGCAGAGAGAAGGACACAGTGAGTCCAGGACAGGGCCACAAACACCCCCAGCCCTGCTGATCACTCCAGAGCACAGAAGACACCAGGAAGACAGAGCAGATGTCCCCCAAATTTCTGATCACCTGATTCAAAACAGTCCTAAAGAAGATTTCTGATGTTTATCAGGGTTTCATAGAGCCACAGGAGGGGTTGGGCTGGAAGGCACCTCAAAGCCCATTTCAATCCCAGCCCCTGCTACGGGCAGGGACAGTTTCCACTAGATCAGGTTGCTCAGAACTCCATCCAGCCTGGCCTTGGACACTTCCAGGGATGGAGCAGCCACAGCTTCTCTGGGCAACATGTTCTAGGGCCTCACCCCCTTCACAGGGAAGATTTCCCTTCCATTTGTGACCATTTTTTCCACAGCTCAGTACTGCTCAGCCCTGCACAGGATGCCTGAGAGAAAACCCAAGTGCCTTCAGTGGGGGCTGTGGACAGACAGCACCGTGAGCTGCCAGGGCAGCACCGCCCTGGAAAATGAAAACAAAAATGTAACGACCCATCCATGGGCATGGAGACTCCAGCAGCACTTCCCTGCTGGCCAAGAACGCCAGCTGGAGGAGCAAAACCTGCTGGAAGTGCTGAAATGTAACCCAGCAGTGCCTGCAGCTCAGACAGAGCCTGCCCATCCCACGCTGCCGTACCTTCCCACACCCCACAGAACTGACAGACACGAGTTTTGCCTGAACACCCCAACAGACACATCCCTGGATGAATTCCAGTCTGGTTTTTCAGCTGTCCCTGCCCACACAGCCCAGAGCAGCTGCAGCAGGTGACAATGGCACCCTGGGGAAGGTGGGCCCAAGGGACCTACATTGACTGCAGCCACTGTGACCATGTTGGAGCCGTAGAGCCGCAGCCACATCTCCTGCACTGCTCTCCAGAACTCAGTGTAGTGCTCCATGCTCTTCCCACACATCTCAGTGATGTCCAGGCCAGAGGAGAATATTTTGGGAAGAGTCTGGAAATGGGAAAAGACAGAGACACTGAGAGTCAGAGGGAAGGAGGGACCCTTTATCTCTCAGCCTGGCAGATGGAGAAAGGGAAAGTGATGAATATGGGCTATAAATCAGGGTCTTTTGGGGTTCTGAAAATACCTCCCCAGTTCTCCCACTGCCTAGATTATCCCATTACCATGGCATGCAGTGCTGCCCTCTGCTTGCAACACAATTTCTTATTGTGAGGGTGCCTGTGTGAGTACATCACCCACACAGCACAAAACCTGTCCTGTCCCACTGCCAGGCACCACCTTGTCCCCACACCACATCTGAAAATAAGCACTGGCATCTCCCAGCGGCTCAGCAGATGTCACAGGATGTGTCAGGTTGGTAGATGAGCAGATTTGATTTTCATGACAAATCACAACACTTGGTTGTCATTCCTCTGCTAGAAAAGGGCGCAGAAGAAAGATCATGGCCCTTCCAAGAGTGCCTTCCCCTCCTCCCTGAGCCAACCCAAGGTGCCTGGGGGCCCTCCCTTGCCAGTGAGCAGTGAGCCCAACAGGAGCAAGCCCTTACAGAGGTGATGATCACACCCCGGCAGGCCCGGTTGTTCTCCAGCTTCTCCAGGCTTATGGAAAACTCTGTGAGGAACTCCAGGCTGAGGCTGTTCACTGGGGGACTCTTGAACTTCATCGTGGCAACACCTGTGAAGGGCAAGCACAGGGACATCAGACTGCCCCCCACAGCAGCCCACACTGGCCTGCCCAGGGGAGCTTCACCCACCTCCCTGTTTCCCTCACCAAACTGTGGCTTTCCACTCCCACTCAACAACATTCCTGGCTGTTTAAAAGTCTCCAGAGCAGCAGAGCCAAGAGCAAGGTCCTGTCTTTGCCCAGATCCACCACAAGCCAGGGTCACTCAGGGGGTGGTGCACAGGAGCACAGAGCAGGCCATGCATGGTGGCACCCCACGTGTCCCAAAGTCCAGCCACCTTCCAGGTCACAGTGCCCAGCAGTTCCCTTCTCGCTGGGCTCAGTGGGGAAGGTCAAACCGGCAGCTTCTGTCACAGCAAACAGCCATTTGTGTGTCCAGGGGTCACACACCTGCTGTGAGCCTGTCAGCACCGGGGAAGGGCTCTGAGCCTTGTCCTTGCCCACACTGCACTACCCTACCCAAAAGGTTCTCCCTGAGTGCTGCAGCCATGACCAGCTGGGAACAGCACAAGGACACACACAGACACCAGGAGATGGGAAGCCACAAGAAGAGGCTTGGGCACCTTTGTACAGAGCAGGGACATGGGAACGTGACAGCTATTCCTGGTAGCCAGTCACAGGAATTCCCTACAGCTCTTCCCTGATGGAGCACTGCCACTCTGCCAGGTGCCCAAACCAGGGACCCCAGAGAGAGGACAATGCACAGGCAGGGGACAATGCCAGTCAGGATTTGTTTGTACCACCTGAAGTGCCCACAACTGATGAGATTCCCAACCCCAAACGCTTCTCCCTGAGCCCCCAAAGCAGCTGCAGCAGCAACACCTGGGGGTCTTTGGTGACTTTACATGCCTAGAACCCCACACGCCACGGGACAGGGGTGGAAGGGATGTCCCCACACGCCCGTGGGCTGAGG